GGTATGGTCATTCGGTTCCTTGTTAGGTTTTGTTATTGGTATTATTATATGGTTTTTCCATTCTGTTGGTATTCCCAACCATTATTTTGTTATATATTCCTAGCAGGGTTTCCTCAATAAAATGCGGTGCATTTTTGATCATTAAATAGGCAATATTGTCCATCCCTGGTTCTACGTATTTCTTGTTTTGAATATTGTACTCTATTTCTTCCCATGTAATTTTTTTGAAATCCCGTTGTCTATGTGTTGTTATTTTTGCTTCTTCCCAATGTGTAACATATGGCGGTGCTAGACTATCCAATAGGATTTCCAGCCATTCCTCGTTGCCAGAGTTCAATCTTTCGTTTTGTGTATTATTTGCAAGTCCTTTCACCACTCTCCATACTATTCCAATTGGGGTGTCCCGCCTGTTTAATGTTTCTGTGAATTCCTTAAACTTCTCTTTCTTTTTGTTTTTCATAATTCTTCTGGTTCTAGCTGCTATATTTTTATAATTCCAAAAGTTCCCCAGTCATGTCATGTTATCCTTGTATTTTTTCATTGCCATTTGTCTACTCTTCACCATTCCATCACATTCATCATCCCACCACTTTGGTTTGGGAACTCGTTTTTTTTTTTTTTAAATTATCATTTCCACTAGTTATAGATATAGCAACATCACCTAGTTATGTTTATTTGGCACCTAGTGGGAAAATGATCACTAATCACTAAATTCCAGCTGCATCTAGGCCCTATGTCTGGTGATGTTATTGTGATATCCGGGCAGCTATTATTTTGATGAGGGGGGTGTTTTTGGTCCTAGTACCATCATTCATTATTATTAAGTTCAAGTCATTTACAATTTCAAAGAGTTGTCTTACATTGTAATTATTTTATTTCCGATCCCCATGCGCTATGTTGTGCATTCGAAACTGCCATCATGATGAATGGAGCGCTGACCCCATTTAGTATTTGAAGTATGTTGTTTATAAGTAATTAATTGTACTTCCGGGGGGTTGTTTGCATTGGTAATTAGTAATCCGTTGACTCTTATTCCCGTGGCTTGGGAATCTCTAATTGATTTGATCTTTGTAAATAGAATATGCGATTTTATCATACTGGCTATTCCTCCTTTTCCATCGGCTCTGTCTTGTCTTACTATAATGTAGTTTTTCATGGTAAAGTTTTATCCTCCTTTAACCAAGTTTCATTTAAGAGTACAATGTCTGGGTTTTCTTCGTTAATTAGAGTGTTCAGCTCGGAGTTGTTACTAAGAACACTCCTGCCATTCCATTGTATTATTCTCATACTGGCTTTGATTATTTAACGATTCTTCAATTTGAGCGGGTGTATCCTCCATGTAGTATGTAACTTCTGCATCTTGATCATGTCCTGCATTGTCTTGTGTGGCTTTCTGGCATTTTTCTATAAGCCATTGCTTTATTTTCTGTGAGCACGCTGTTTTTTCTATGTCTATGACTTGTTTTAAAACTTCAATTACTGAAGTTGGCTGTAATGAGAAAGTTCTTATTGCTGGCGAGTTTCTGTATGTTGGACTTCTACTTGGGTCTGGGAACAGACATCTTTTGTGTTTTCCCTGATCATATCTCATTGGTGATTTTGGTGTCTTTCTTTTCAAGTTGTTCACCGTCGCAGCATATGTGATTATTTCAGGTGTTGTACTATACCCACTGCACCACTATATATGTGTCTCTGATTGATGTTAATTACGTTGTCTTTGTTTAGGGGTTCCTAATCTTGGGAAGTCTCTGTTATCAATTATGTCTCTTTCTATTCTTGTTTCTTCTTCTTTGAGAAATTTTTGTCACGCTACATAATATGAAATATTTTCTCTACTCATCATTTGCTTAATGGCTTGCTGTCTTAGATACTCTTGACACCTTCTGTGGGTAGTTTTGTGATCCTTACCGCAATTTCCTCATGTTCTTCTGCACATCTTGCGCTCCATTTCTTGCTGCGCCATTGTTTGGTAGTATGCCCGTATCTTAGGCAGTTGAAGCACATAATAACCGGACTGATATACATGTTCCCTATTACATCGCAGTAATCTATGTTCACATATCTCGGTACCTATGGTTTTTCCTTCAAATGTCAAAATCACAGATTCTGTGTCAATATTCTTAATTTCTCTATGTTCAAAGACTTTCCTTCTCAATCTTCTAGCCTCTACAACTTTGTGGACTGAGGTAGCACTGCTGATAATATCCTCTTCCGATAGTTCTCTGTCAACTCCTCTTGTTATTTCTTTACATCCCACAGTGAAAGAACATTCATATTCTCAGAATATTCTCTCAAAGTGCTTTTTGGAATGTTCTTTTAGGAATGTTTAATGAATATTCTAAGCTTGTTTCGAGGGAAATATTCATTTTTGAACGTTCTATTTATGTACTAAGAATGTTGCTTCTAGGCACCTACCTGAAAAATTGTGCTAAGAACTTACTTTATATAACATTATTTGAATATTGTCATACGAACATTATTATAATGTACCCTAAAAAATGGTCTTTCGGCTAATATCTCTATCAAGTATTAAGAATATACCTACCAAGTTGTGCAGAGAAGTTTATGTAGGTAGGTAACTATGATAAGAATATTTTCATATTGTTCACCTATTTATCTAAAGTACCTAGGTACTCAAAAATCTTAATTGAACAATTAAACAATAATGCTCTATCTAGAACCTACTAAGAATATTATAGGTATATTCTTTTTCTTTTGCTTTGTAGGACTTCCAAGAGAGGGAGCCACGCGCTATTAAAGATCTACATCTTGCCTCGCATTTGAATCACCTTGAAACCTGTTTCTCTCAGTTGGCGCGTGCTTCGATGAGAGCATAACAACCTCGAAACAGGAGCTTTGGTTTAATACTTGTGTTTTCCAACAACTCTTTCACTGCCTCTAATATAAAAGGGCTGAAAGGAGCATTATTTGGAAGCGAAAATTAACATTCCAAGTATATCCTTAGAATCAAACAAGAATGTTATGTCTAGGATGCATATTGAGAATGATATATGTAGATATATTCTAAGAATATTTCAAGCATATTGCTATAATATTCTTTTGAGAACATAACTATATATGTCATAGAAACATTCTTTGAATGTGAGAATATACATTTCGAGCATATTTTAAGAATCAAACAGGAATATTCTTTTCAGGATGTAAGGAGAATCTCATAGGTATATTCTAGGAATATCCTAATAGATTTCCCAGGAAGTTCTTGGGTATTGCAAACAGTATTTCTACAATCTTTTCTCAGAACATTCTCAGGACATTCGCAATGGTTTTGGCGAGCATTCTAGGCACATTCCTCATAAAAAAGAACATTCTTAATACATTCTAAGGATGCAATTTTGTTATGTGGGATGTCACTAAACTGGCAGGAATGTAGGCTTTGAGGTTCTTTTCCTTAAGAATTTTGTTTGGGATAAATTCATTATTAGAATTTGTATACTGTGAAAATTCAATTTCCACTCTATTTTTCCCTTTTCTAGATGTTTTTTCAACTCCATTGATATTTGCGTTTTTTAACATTCTACCTATACTTACTCATAGGATGCAAATTCCCTACATTTTCCTCATTGTTTCCTTTTATTATGACTATGAATGGTTTAGTGTCCCTCGCTGGGTATATTTAAAATCTTTGGGGGGCTCCTTGGGGCCCCATGTTCTCAACAAGCTATGAAGGTTGGGTTAGGTATTCAAATGTGGGTTAAAAGCTATTTACAGGCAAGCAAAACCAGAAATTATATTTGGGGACTTACGTACCCCTCTTGTTTATGTCTTTATTTTTGACTGGTTTTATTGCATTTGTTCTCTTATTTATAGAAAGATTCAACTTTTTCAAAAATTACCTACACCGACACGCTTTTCAAAACAGCTTCACTCTACCACTGCAAAAATTGAAATTCAAAGAGGAATCCGACAGAGATTCTGTACATCATGGCGAAGGCGCTCCGCTACAATTTTCTTTGCTTTGCAGATGATATTGTCCTATATCAGACACTCTGGGCGAAGCTAAAGAAAAGTTCTAGGAACTTCAAAATTCTAGGCAAGAAGTGGGACTAAACATGAACTTTTCCCAAAACAAAAATGATGACTAATCTGGTTTCCAGTGAGCAAATACAGATAGGCAATAATAACCTAGAAATAGTGGACAAAGGTATTCTTGGATCATGACATGAGAATTCACAGATGTAATACCAAACAAGCGAATTGAATTCGGGAAAATTATGGTTGACATTCCAATATCCCTAAAACGAAAAGCATTCAACCAGTGTGCTCTCACACCTATAGTGTACAGAAGTTGACTCTCACCAAAGCATAACCAGAAAAGTTAAGAGTGACACATAGACGAATGAAATGTTCCATGCTTGGATTGACTTTAAAAGACCAAATAAAGAAGGTTGTTTCATGATGATTTGATTATACACTATTCTTGTCCTACTTTTGATTTCGTGGCGAATGCGAAGGTTAGATTAGCTAGTTCATTTATCGCTACTGCCAAGATTATAACTTTTTGGGTACATAGCTTATAAAAGCCGAAGAACTTTAAAGCTCTAATGTATAAAGCATTTTTACTACTGACTTTATGGCGAATGTGCGGTATAATTTACCAGGGACATCTGGTGGGCTCCTCTTATATTCAAGACCCTAAAAATAAAAATCAAGGATTTCTAGAAATTCAGGCTTGTTGTAGTTGGGATAGTTTCTCAACTAGGATATAGGTGTGACCACCTTTATCATAATTTTCAAGAGATCTGAGGCGGATTTTTTTGAGAATACCTACTTAATATTGATGAGAATCCAAAGTTAGAATTACACAATGGATATAATATCACTTTGTAATTTAAGAGCTTAAATTCATACTTTTTTCTTTCTACCATTGTGCGTAAAGTAGGAACGTAGGTACCTATACTTTACATGTTGGATTTTGTGGTCGAATCATCATTTGGGATCCTCAAACTTCATAGGACGTCAGGAAAATTGAAGAATACAAATTATTTTAATAACAATTATCGTTATATTCATTTACATTGAGAGCAAAGTCCTTAAAAAATATGTAACAAATGCAGAAAATACAAAAAAAAGTATAAAAAACTCAAACAACGTTAATTACATGCTTATTTTTAGATTTTAGAGATTCATAATAATAATCACACAAACAATAAATAAACAAATAAATAAATAAACGGATTTGAGTGTTTTTAGCAGTATTGCCAGTTTGGGCAAGTTTTATCCAAATAGGTACCATTCTAGAATATTTTTGCTAGTCCAAGACATTATAATAATATGCTTGTTCTATTATTTGCCTCTTTTGGACCAAACTAATAGCAATATCTAAAAAATTATTCAAATGCTCCACAAAATTATTGTCCATCATTTGCATGGTTCCAAGATCTCCATCTGAGAAAACTGTAACGAGATTCATTCTGCAACCGTGTTTTTTGAATCTTCTTGTTTCATCCAAAATATTTTTGACTTCAGATAAAGCTAAACTTAGATAGTCTTTCAGATCCTTGAAAATTTCTCTTCTTTGTTTGATTTGTTGTGAAAAATTTCCATCTGTATTGAGGACATAATCTTGTATTTTTTTTAGGTCACATTGGTAGTTGTATAGCAAACGGTAGATTCTATACAAAAGCTGAAACAAATTAAGGTTTGATAAATGTAATAGAAGTCTCTTATCCTTCATCAGTATGTATAATTATTGGTAAAGGATTAGGTACCTACCAGAAAGGTTGAATTAATGGCTGCTAATCTATCCTCAATATTTTGTAGATTTTTGACTTTCATTTGCTGAAATTGAAATATTTAGGTATGAAGTTTAAAAACTTATTGATGTAGGTACCTTGATATAATGTCCATAAATTCGATGTAAACCAGTAGAGGTACTTTGTCCTAAGTGATTCTTGAGGGATTTCAATTCTCGGACTAAAGGTGTAAGCTCTGAATCTTCCGAATCCCCAACTATATTTATTATGGGCGAATGGTCATTTATTGGTTTGCAAGCTACTCCCATATCATCGCTCAGGGTAACTATTAGTGTAAGAAATCCAACTAATGCTGAAAAACATTTATATTAATCAATAATACATTGTAATACTATATTAATGATAATGTAAGTAATGTAGCTACCTTATCATTTAGATTTTGGAAAACTTTGAAAGATCATAGCCTTTTTTCTATTAAAGATAGAAAATTGAAATTTTCAGCGATTCTTATCCCAGTGAAGGACTTCAATCCCTGAAAATTTCAGCTCATTTGCATGTATAATTTGAGAAATAAAATTGCGTTAAGCAATTTGGGGTAAATTGGTAGATTTATCAATTTTTTGAGTGCCTTTTTTCATAAATTTTGGCTTCAAATCTCGAAATAATTTAGTGTATGGAGTTTGGGGGGTCCAAAATGATCATTTAGACACAAAATCTCAACATAAAAAAATTTGAAAATTCATCATTTTGGTACTATGTACAGTGCTTTTTTATATATTGACACCCCACCAACAGCCTTTACCTTTACACAGGTAGATGAAAGGTTTACAAAAGTTGTACAGTATTGGTTAAATTTTTAGAATTCATTGTCAGAAACAAAAATTCAATATCAGAAATGTGAAACTTTGTATACTTTCAGCTTTTTTCAAATGCAATGAGCTATATTTGGTTTTATATTCTTGAAGAGCACAATTTCCCGATTCCAAAACTATATAGTTTGTCTATATTTAGTTGAACCGTTATCAACATATTTGGTTCCAAAAATTTTAAAAATACCATCAGAGAAACCAAGTACCTACCTCAAATTTTACCTGCACAGGTAGAATGGTTCACAAAATCAGTAGTAGAATAGTATTTTTACAATAATTTTTGGAGCCGAATATATGAGAGATTGCTCAATCAAATATAGATTGGGGCATTGTGCTCTTCAAGAATATAGAATGAAATATAGGGCACCCATTTGAAAAAATCTGGAAGCATGCAAAATTTCACATTTCTGACATTTAAATTTTGTTTCTGACCATGATTTCTAAAAATTCAGCCAAAACTGTACAACTTTTGTATTTACATCTTTCTTCTACCTGTAAAGAAGGTGGAGTGTCAATATATAAAGAAACACCCTGTACAAAAAAGTGGATTATTGCGGAACCTATAGGTGGACCTCTGCGGGACGAGCGCAGCGAGTTCCGCAGCCATCTACTCACCAACATACTGTTGAACTATTCAAATAAGACACTAATCTGAAACGAGTAGTTTTTGAACTAATGAGAAAAATTCACAACTGAGTGAATCAGGTCAGTATTGTACTTGAACAACATATTGGTGAATAGATGGTTGGGTCCACCCATAAGTTCCGCAACAATCCACTCGTTTGTACTTAAATAACTTGTCACAATATATTACTAGTTTGATAAAGTAACATTACTAATTCCTGTTGAAAGGCAAATTGCTAAAAAGTGGATAATCTTACAAATTCTGATTTTATATAATAAGTTATTGTTCAAGTTCAAATAAGTGGATTGTTGCGGAACTTATGGGTGGACCTCTGCGGGACGAGCGCAGCGAGTTCCGCAGCCATCTACTCACCAATATACTATTGAACTGTTCAAGTAAGACATTCACCTGAAACAGAGACGGATGGGACAGGCGGAAGACCGGGACATTTCCCGGTGGGCCGGTCGGCCGGTTGGCCGCGAAAACTGACTACTTATAGTGCAACTTGACACTGTCGAAAATCATTTGGCTACGTCGCGTCACGCCGGCCACTATGCTATGATCAAGATATTCAAGATATTGCAAGCATTGAAAGCCATTCAGAGGAATATGGAATGGATCGAAAATTCTATTCGTGATATTATTACATGCCTTCAGATAATAAAAAACTGAATTAACGTGGATTAGAAACGATTTTCTAAGAGAAAGGCGAGTTAAAAAGATTTTTTGAAGGAAGGGGAGCAAGTTGTGGAAAAGCTTCCGATGAGGCTCTACAAGATGAGCATACAAGGTTTAAATTGAAACGTACAATGTGAATATGAATATGGTAGGTGAGTCAATATCTTACAGGTATGCCCAAAATATGGAAAGACTACTGCGTCCTCATTCTTGAAACAGGGGAGCAACGTGTTTCAAAAATAAGGACCCTGCTGTGCTGATATAGGTAGCAATTTTCAACCCAACGTATTTTGGAAAAATAACGCGAAATGGCCCACTACCCGACAAAAGTATGCTCTTGATATCTAAATTGGTTGAAAAATTTAGTAACAAGACTACAACTCAAAGAATTAGGAAGGAATTATTAAGTTTAGCTTGTAATTGAGACCTTTACAAGTTATCTCTTCAGGAAACGTTTGGTAGACCGACATTTCCACTCATAGTGACTCAGGATTATCAAGAGAATGCGCAAATAGATTTCGCAAAGTTACACTTTTCCGCACGCCAGTAAAGTCTCTTTTTTTTCAAAAGATAAAAGTCAAAATGACATTATGTTGGCAATATAATGTAAAATTGTCAATGCTTTCAAATTTTTCATGTAGAAAAGGCTTGTGTTTCCAACATAGCTACTAAATTTTTGACTTGGGGAATTATCTTTAAAAAAAAATAGACTTTATATTTCCCAACTAGTGTAGAAAGTGCCACTTGTGTTGAATATAACACTTTTCACACGCGTGGGAAAGTTTGTTGGCACGAGCCGAAGGCGAGTGACACCAACCACACGAATGTGGAAAGTGATTTTCATACGCATTACACACAGGTCTATAAACCTAACAGTCCCAAGGTGGAAAGAAACTTCGGGAACTATATATTAATTAGGTGCTTTTTAGTTGCTTAGTTGCTTAGTTAGCAGTCCCTACTAATTAAAAAAAAATCTGTAACTCAGTTAATAATTAATCTATTCAATTTTTCTTGGACTATTTAGGAGCACCCAAAAAGCACCTAATTCTGATACAAAGAAGAAATTTGAAAAAAATATTTTTCACTATAGGGGACTACTACCTTTCATAAACCTAGCAATCCCTTAGTTTTTTTTTTATTTTCTAATAAAACTAGAGGTGCACCTAATTTTTAGACGCCCTAATTAGCACCTAAAAAGCACCTAATTATTATATAGATCCTGAAGTTTTTTTCCATTGTGACACATCAACATGTAAACGTAAAGCCAGCAGTCCCCTAATAATTAAAAAAAAATCTGTAAGTCAGTTAATAATTAATCAATTCTATTTTTTCTTCGACTATTTAGGAGCACCTCAAAAGCACCTAATTCTGATACAAAAGAAATTTTTGGAAAAATATTTTTTCAATATAGGGGACTACTAGCTTTCATAAACCTAGCAATCCCTTAGTTTCTTTTTTTTTTTGATTTTCTCAAAAACTAGAGGAGCACCTAATCTTTAATTAGAGGCCCTAATTAGCACCTAAAAAGCACCTAATTATTAAATAGATCCTGAAGTTTTTTTGCCATTCTGACACACCAACATGTAAAAGTAAAGCCAGCAGTCCCCTAATAATTTAAAAAAAACCTGTAACTCAGTTAATAATTAATCAAACCTTGGACTATGTAGGAGCACCTAAAAAGCACCTAATTCTGATACAAAGAAGAAATTTGAAAAAAATATTTTTCACTATAGGGGACTACTAGCTTTCATAAACCTAGCAATCCCTTAGTTTTTTTTGATTTTCTCAAAAACTAGAGGAGCACCTAATCTTTAATTAGAGGCCCTAATTAGCACCTAAAAAGCACCTAATTATTATATAGTTCCCGAAGTTTTTTTCCACCTTGGGATTGCTAGGTTTATAGAGCTATTACACACCATAATTTTTCTACAACTGCCAAATAACTATATTCATATTGAGATTTAAATTTTGTTCTCATTCCTGCCTGTATAGATACCAAAGATATTATACTTTTTCGCACTAGTGCGGAAAAGTGGTACTTTCATGACCCAAAATGCGTGCGGAAAAGTTGGTTTTCGATTCCTCCGTTTCTAGATCAACAAACATCAAACATCAAAAACTCAAACAAACATCGAATATAGTTCATAGTTTTTTATTATTTGTTGTTATGCAATATGAAGCTCATAGGAAAACATTCCCCAACACTTCCACAAAGTCACTTTCCTGCACTTGGTGCCTATTTGAACTCCGCTTCGCGTCATTCGTCTAACTACTTCGGCGTGCGGGAAAGTACTATTCTGGGCACTTATCAGAAAAATAACTACATATTTCCATTCTGAAATATATTGAGAATAGGCTAAGAAATAGGTTAGGTGACAAGCTTATATAGGTACATAGACCCCTACTCAACCAAATAGATAACGAAGATATTATAAATGAAGTCCTAGCGTAATTTTCTCACAGAGCCCATCCGTCCCTGACCTGAAACATGTAGTTTTTAAACTAATGAGAATAACTCACATGTGAGTGAGTCAGGTTAGTATCGTAATTAAACAACATATTGATGAATAGATAGCTGCGGAACTCGTTACGCTCGTCCCGCAGAGGCCCACCCATAGGTTCCTAAACAACTGACTGATTTGTACTTGAAAAACTTGTTACATTGTTACTAGTTTGGTAAAGTAACATTACTAATCCCTGTTGAAAGGCAAATTGACAAAAAGTGGATAATCTTACAAATTCTGATTTTATATAATAAGTTATTGTTCAAGTACAAATAAGTGGATTATTGCGGAACTTATGGGTGGACCTCTGCGGGACGAGCGCAGCGAGTTCCGCAGATATCTACTCACCAATATACTATTGAACTGTTCAAATAAGATATTCACCTGAAACTTGAAGTTTTTAAACTAATGAGAATTACTCTCATTTGAGTGAGTATGGTTAGTATTGTAATTAAACAACATATTGATGAATAGAGGTCCACCCATAAGTTCCGAAACAATTTACTGAATTGTACTCGAATAACTTGTCTCATTATGTTACTAATTTGGTAAAGTAGCATTACTAATTCCTGTTGCGAGGCAAATTGACAAAAAGTGAATAATCTTACAAATTTTGACCTTATACAACAAAACAGTAGTAGAATAGTATTCCTACAATTTTTGGAGCCGAATATATAAGAGACTGTTGAATCAAATATAGACAAACTATATGTTATTGGAATTGGGGCATTGTGCTCTTCAATAATAGAAAATGAAATATAGGGCATCCCGTTTAAGAAATGCTGGAAGCATGCAAAATTTCACATTTCTGACATTCAAATTTTGTTTCTTACCATGGTTTCTAAAAATTCAGCCAAAACTGTACAACTTTTGTATTTACACCTTTCTTCTACCTGTAAAGGTAAAGACTATGTGGGTGGAGTGTTAATATATAAAAAAACACCCTCTGTACCTACTTATGATTTAGATATTTGGAAACTTTGAAAAATCATAACTTTTTTTCTATTAGAGATAAAGCTGAAATTTTAGTAGAAGAATACAATCTCTGAAAATTTCAGCTCATTTGGACGAATAGTTTCAGAAATAAAATCGCGTTAATCAGTTTGTGGTAAATTGGTAGATTTCTCAATTTTCTGAGTGCCTTTTTTTCATAAAATCCGGCTCCAATCTAGGAATAATTTAGTGCATGAAGTTCGGGGGATTCCCGAGGACCAAAATCTCAACAACAAAAAATTTGAAATTTCATCGTTTTAGTAGTAAGGTAAGAAAAGGCGGCAATCTTATTTCATATCAAAATATCAAAATTTGAAGTACCTATCTTATCGTGCATTATTTTGTGTGATTCACCTAAACGATTTTACTAGAATAATAAACATAGAGCCAACGCCCAATTTTTTATTATGTAATAAAAGGGCTTATTGTGCAACCATTCAATTAAATTTGAAATACTTACTCACGTATCAGTAAAATCACAGATTTGCCTTCAATTTTATCAAAAATAAGAAATTACTTTTCAAATAATTACTGTGATTAACTTAGTTTCTTAATAGAAAATCAGATTTAAAGAAAATTTTGTAAAGAAGAAAACCCTACCAAAAAGCTTGAACTGACTGAATCCTAAGCCATTTTCAAGGAAAGATCCAGGATGTTTTGCAGAGCTCATCGTATGATTGGGGTTATAGTAGGAACAACTACATCTCGATAATTATGGGCTCATTTTTAAAATAAAATTCAAACTTTTATTTCAAGATAAGTTTGTAATATTCTCGAAAATGCATTTTTATAAGATTATATAATTGATAAGAGCACATCGTACATCAACCTTATAATTTGCAATCAAATTCAAATAAATATAGATTAAATTGAAAAATTTATCAAAATAAACTTACCGTCTTTTACTTTCAAGAAGCACATTTTTTTTTTAAATTATTTTTCACTTTAAGAAAACTAGCTTTATATAACACGATACTTATATCTTAATAGAAACTAGATACACGTTCCGAATTCAATTGGATAATGATCAGATTTCACAATGGCTCGCCAATTTATTGAGTTTGGGGGAATTCTAGAATAATCGAAATTAGATAAGAATGGGAAATAATTTAAATGATCTCACTGTAATCAGCGACAGGTGCGAACAAGTTCATTTTGATTGGTGCATTCAAACAAAGTAAAAATCTTGAATTTTGAGCTAAATTACTAAAATCGAATTCTAAAATTTATACTGGGAAATGTAAAATTATTCTTCAGGCAACAAAATACTATATCAATTAAACTTATACGCTAAGAAACTATGTCTTATTTTATTAGTATCCCAACTTTGTAAAGTGTTCAAGAAAATCAAAACAAACCGCACTGGTTCTAATACTCTTACCATAGAAATTCTCATACAAAAAACCAACAATAATCATCTTCTCATCTAACTCGATTTTGTATGAGAAAGCATGGAGCTATGGGCCTTAAAGCCGGATCCAGACTATGTCTAAAAAGTGTTAAATAACAAAAGTTTCATAATTTTAAATAAAAAGGTTTTAAAACCCAGTGTTGTATATTTTGCTGGTTATATAGAATGTTTTATGTTATCCATCAGAGGTCGGTAGCAAATTTGTACAACAAATTTGTTGTACAACATTGTTATTAAAATGTTTTGTTACATAGTCTGGACCTGGCTTAAAAAGAGAGATGGATAACTCTAGAATTGACTCATGATGTACACAACTTATTCATAACATCCTCAGATATCTTAAGGAATCGTACTCATCTTCAAGAGTTTTGAATGTGTGATGACTACACCTTTTCCATATGTATTTCAGAGACCATCAGTTTAATTCCTGAAAGCGTCAATTATTGCAATTTACATTAGTGAATTGTATTTCGGAAAGCGTCAATTATATTTCAGATTATTCAAATTTATTTCGGAAAGAGTCAATTGTATTTCAGGTTAGTATATTTTATTTCAGAAAGCGTCAAATGTATTTCAGGTTAGTTAATTTTATTTCGGAAAGCGTCAATTGTATTTTAGGTTCGTTGATTGTATTTCAGAAAACGTGAATTGTATTTAAGAATTTGTCAGATGAATTTCAGAAATCATTACTTGTATTTCAGATAACAATGATATAAGAAAATATTTTCCCAAATCAACAAGGTATATAGGTGAACCATTATAAATTTCATTTTTTAATATACTACATTGATAACATCTGAAATACATTTGACAAATTAGGAAATACAATTTGAAACTTCTGATCTACAAATAAATAATCAGAAACACAAATAACGTTTTCTGAAATACAAGTGACTAAACTGAAATACAAATCACTTTTTCTGAAATACAACTGACCAAACTGCAACAAAAATGACGTTTTCTGAACTACAACTGAAAAAGTTGAAATACAAATAACACTTTCTGAAATTAAGCTTACACAACTGGAATACAATTGACGCATTCTGTAATAGAATGGATGAATCTGAAATACAAGTGATACATTCTGAAATAATTATGGAAAAGGTGTAGACAGTTGGCAAGAACATCGGAGAGAATGGACTTTAAAGTGAATATGGGAAAGATGAAATTGATAACAAATAACATCAAAGAAGAATAATCATTGAAAACATCTATTTGTAATCTAGGACAGAGATACTGAAACTTAAAGGTAACCAGATGGTGGTTCACAAAGACTTATTTTCCCATAAATTTCCAATATTTCCTGATACCAGTATTTAAAAACAGATTACTTACTTTATAACTAAGTACCTATATATTAATATTACAAAATAAAAATCCTATTACAAAAATGTATGTGTATACACATCATGGTGACTCTCAGGTTATTCACATCGCGGACGTTTGTGCGATAAAAAAAAAGTTCAATTTCGCAAAAAATGTCACGCCAAAAACAACAACATGCACTTAACAAGAGCGTCAAATGTTTTGCAAACTTTTCTCAAATATGCCTTTATGTTGCCGCGATAGAATTCGAATAAAACATAATACGAAAGCTACAAAATTATATGGAAAAGTAAAGAAAATAACAAAAAAAAAAATTTGATTGGATTAAGTAACTAATTCTAAAAGGGTCTAGGCCAGAATGCATCAGATAATTGAATTGCTCGAACGAATTAGCAAAATATTTATTCAGGATTTCTTTAAACTACATCCCAGTGAACACACTTTATCCCAGGAACATCCTATTGTTCCGTTAGTTCGGCAACGACCGAAACCAACATTTAGACCCATAAATAACATGTTCCAATCCTTGTTCAAAGGAACCTAGTTAACACTTGAATCTTCTTATTTAAAATACATTGATCGACAAAAATGCATTGTAACTGGAAAGGTTCTAGTGTGAACAAAGTTCAAATAAACCAAGTTTTTAGCTTGGAATTTACATGTATGGGCCTTTATAGTTGCCCCTAAAACAACCCTAGAACATCCTAGAATGTCTTATGAACGTTTTTGAAGAACGTTCGAGGAAGGTCTTTTTATTCACTTAAAAAGATGTATGGTCAGGGAACATATCAGAATTCTCTAAAAATGATCTTGGAAAATTCCGAAGAAACGTTTCATTTATGCACAAACTCCTCACAGGAAACGTTTTGGAACCTAACAGGATGTTCAAGAACATCTGGTAAGTCGTAGAGGAACGTTCCAAGTACATACGTTTTTTAAACTAAGTTATGTTTGTTGGGAATAGAAGAGAAATAGAGACACGAATTTTAAGGAAATTTGATATATTTTTTTTTCTATTTCAAGCTTTTGACTGTTCCTTGCTCCTTCTATGGAAATAAATTTCACCGGTCCCCAATTTTTGATCTAGTCGACGTCAAAAACATATGTGCCGATACGCCGCACTTGAGAATATGCCAACTTTTGGAAGTTCTGTATTTAGGCTCCTGACGGCCGCTATATTGAATTATGGTACTTCCGGCATCGGAATTGACTTCTACTCATATTCATATTCAGCAACCCCAAAAACATATGAAACGACATCTCGCCGGTCACTAATGATACACTTTAGGAAAAATGTCATTTAGGCCCTTAGTTTGACCGCCATCTTGGATTTGAGGCCTTTGGAGGCAAAATTCCGCTTGGCAACATCCGGATTCGGATTCAGCGGGGTCGAAATACTCTGGAAACGTCAAGCTGTCAAATGTCGCACGAAATGCCGCTCGGAGTAAAAATTTGAGAAATATTCATTGAACTAAGAATGATTTTGTGTATACACATTTTGGTTTAAAAAATGGCCTTGCCACATACACTTTGAAGCCTCGTATCTCAAAAACCACTTGAGATATTGAATTCAAACCTATTTTATCTTGAAAAGCATTCAATCCTGATTCGAAATTGTTAAATTTAGTATAAAATTTGAGAAATAATCATTGATTTCGTGTATACACACATATGCCCTTCCCACATACAATTTGAAGCCTCATATCTTGAAAACCACTTGAGATATCGGTTTCAAATCTGTTCTATCTTGTAAAGCATTCAATTTTGATTCGAAACTGCTAATTTCAGTTTGAAATTTGAGAAGTATTCATTGAGGTAAGAATGATTTTGTGTATAAGTACACACGTATGACTTTTGGTTTAAAAAATGACCCTGCCACATATACTTTGAAGCCTCATATCTCGAAAACCACTTGATATATTGAATTCAAACCTGTTCTATCTTGTAAAGCATTCAATTCTGATCTGAAACTGCTAATTTCAGTATGAAATTTTAGAAATATTCATTGATTTTATGCATACACACGTATGCCCTTGCCACATACACTTTGAAGCCTCATATCTGGAAAACAATTAGATTGAGATATTGAAATTAAACCTGTTCTATCTTGAAAAGCATTGAATTCTGATTCGAAATTGTTGAATTTAGTATAAAATTTGAGAAATATTCATTGATTTTGTGTATACACACGTATGCCCTTCCCACATACACTTTTTGATGCCTCATATCTTGAAAACCACTTGAGATATCGGTTTCAAACCTGTTCTATCTTGTAAAGCATTAAATTCTGATTCAAAACTGCTAATTTCAGTATGAAATTGGAAAAGTATTCATTGAGCTAAGAATGATTTTGTGTATACACACGTATGACTTTTGGTTTAAAAAATGGCCCTGTCACGTACACTTTGAAGCCTCGTGTCTGGAAAACCACTTGGGATATTGCATTCAAACCTGTTCTATCTTGAAAAGTATTCAATTCTGCTTCGAAATTGTTAAATTTAGTATAAAATTTGAGAAATATTCATTGATTTCGTGTATACACACGTATGCCCTTGCCACATACACTTTAAAGCCTTATATCTTGAAAACCACTTGAGATATCGGTTTCCAACCTGTTCTATCTTGAAAAGCATTCAATTCTGATTCGAAATAGTTAAATTTAGTTTTCTTCTTCGTCGGTGTCTGTGCCGATACGCCGTACCTAACAATATCCCAACTTCTGAAAGTTCTGTATTTAGGCCCCCGACGGCCACCATCTTGAATTATGGTAGTTCCTGTAACCGAATCGACTTCCGGTACTCATATTCATGTTCAGCGACCTCCAAAACATATGAATTGACATCTCGCCGGTCACACTTTAAGAAAAATGCCATTTAGGCCCTTAGTTTGGCCGCCATCTTGGATTTGAGGCCTTTGGAGGCATAATTCGGCTTGGCAACATCCGGATACAGCGGGGTCGAAATACCCTAGAAACGTCAAGTTGCCGAATGTCGCACGGAATGCTGCTCGGAGTAAAACAGACTACGATTTCTGGGAATGTCCAGCTTGGAAGGAGGGGTCCTATTCAATAGTCAGCAAGTTCACCTGATGTAAATCCTTCAGATTTTTGTTTTTACGGAGCCACTTCAAAATGAAATTCAATTCAACAAAATATCACCACAAGGGTGAAAATGTTTAACATAAATTTGGTGTTTTGATTTAGGTACACAAAACCTCTCAAGTTGAGGAAATTGGGACGATATTGCAACACTGCTAAATAGCCAGAAGACTCGCAAATGGAATTTAGCCGCGCAATTCCGCATCGAATTTGAAACGAATTATCTAGATAATTGTAGAAGCAACGACGTGCTATAAAACGGAGTCCGCCACGAGCTCAGTGAATCATGGACTTAGATTTGTGACGAGTTGTGCTTCATTGTAGTCATACGAAGTATTGTAATATGTACTGCTAGTTTCCTCATGATTTTTGAGTAGTCTCACTTATCTAGAAAACCACTCACATAACAATATTTCAAGCTTTGAAAACCTTACAGGCGTTATGGGGTTTATGATACTTTTTAGAAGAAGAAGAATCATAATTATGTAATTGAATGGCGTATAATTTAAAAATCCATCTTATAAACAAACAAAAGTTATTAACTGTGTTTCTCTTCTTTATTTTTTTGATATTGAATATGTAAATTCAATCAACAAAGAAACATTGTTGACATAGGAAATTAGCAAAACGGTTACCAATCTTTATTGTTCTTTAACCGTAATTTTAAACCAACCAAAAAAATGAGATTTATTGTTTTGTCCTTGTTAAATTTCAACAGTAAAATCACTCACAAGTAAAAGTAATAAAAAAATTTAAAAAAAAAATCAGTGGAGAAAGTGGTTTGAGAACCCTATATTTTTTTCTTTTATACCATATACAGACTAGGTTACACACGAATAATAAAACCAAAATATAATATTTCAAATAGATCTGTTTATTTACAAAAGTATTTTACAAAAAATATCCGTATACAAAAATGTTCATATTGTCACAAAACAAACACACATTGGTTTAATATAATACTGATAAAACTTATAATACAAAAAGCAGTTGCAGAAATTATCTAACAAAACAAAAAGAAACAAATTAACTTAAAATATATATTTAAAACCAGTTTAAAATATAATTAAGAAAACATATCCTCAAACTGCTAAAAATTAAAATAATTTTGTCACAATACGAAACATTCAAGTACAAACTACAAAAAGGGGTTAAAATTCATTAAAATGTTATTCGAATCACAATTTTTTGACAAAAACGGGCTTTAAAATGTAAAAAAAATAAATAATTAATAAATACTACACACTAATAATATATCACAAAATATAATACATTAGTCCACAAGAAGATACAAAAATACTAAAAACTAGATTTTATTAAGGCCGAAATTTATCACTTTATATTATACTAAATCTAAAGGGTAAATTTGGTCTAAAATATCTTCTTGTTGGTGCATATAATTTACAAATAATACTAATTAAGGCACATCTGATGGACTAAATAAATGTATTCGAATATTTAAAAAAATTATTTAGTCCTCATATAAAGCTTTGATACTGGAATGACAACTTTTTGCGCAAAAACTTGCTAATAGAGAGAACATTTTAGTTAATTTGGACGAACCCCGTTCAATATGCAGCAATTAATATCGTCACAAATTAAATATTCACATAATATATACAAAATTTTATTTTGATATAATATGTATTTAATTATTAAACAATCAGGCAAAAAAATTAAATAATAAATACAATAATAAGTAAAGTATATCACAGTCAGAAAATGTAATAAATTAAGTAAGTAAAATCATACAAAAAGTCTAAAAATCTATATATAAAATGCAGTCACTTTGTCCATTTTTCGTTAAAAAAAAAAAAATATTCGATTTAAAAAATGGATTTTTACGAGTCAAAAAATTAATAAATGATTTCCTTCTAACACTGGGCAACTATGGAGATCTTATATACGTAAAATAAATTAATAATTGCGTCACCTAATTCACTATAATAATTTATTAACTTTTAGTCCGTGCAGCATCCTCCCTAACCAGTTGCTGGCTTTTATGTTTCTTCTTCAAACTGTTCAACTTCTTCCTACCCTTCTTGATAAACTTCTTCAGCTGCTTGAAAAATTGCAAATCCAACATTTTGATTTGCGTTAGTCCAGCTTCTCTGGGCAAACACTTCGCTTTCACTCTCGGCGCTTTGTTAGTGTTCGGTTGAATTTTGAATTCGGTCATGATCGTTTCGTTGAACTCGCAAATGGCCAGTCTCAAGTAGTTTTTCGTTTCTTTGAAGATGTTGTCGCGTTCCGCGAAATCGAACTGGGTGTTGGTTCTGATCGGGATGGCGTGCAATTTGTCTAGGAATTCGGCGAGTTGGATCATTGAGAAATGGAATTGTTGATGAGCCTGAAAAAAAAATTAATATTAGAATCTTGGAAGTAAATTTGGTTATGTTCTACACTTATTTAGACTAGCATGTTATACTTGATGATAAAGGAGGCAAGTGGCTCTACTGAACTCAGGTCAAGCAATGTGTCGTTGGGATGGGGATTGGTTGGGTGACCGCCAATCATTTTGTCTCCAAGTATGAATGGAAATGAGGCTGCAGTATAGAGTATGGGCTCAAAAAGGTGAATGAATATTTTCAACTACTTAAGTAAATACCACTCGGTACATCAATTTTATTAAAGTGTGTCGACGAGTCAGAATTAATTTGATATAAATACCGCGCCAAGATCCATTACCGGCACACTAAGGCTAGTGCAGAGTACCTCAATTGGGAAAATCCCTTCCAGCTAAGTCTCCTCCCAGTGCAAAATACCTTTATTGGGAAATGCCTTTGTAGCAATTAAGCTACTTTGTCATTTTATTATTATTTTAAGTATGTATATTTATTATATTTTAGGTGTTTTTAAATTGTAATCACCGGTATTGCTGTACATATTAATTAGTGTAATGCATTTAAAGCAAGTATACATCAAAGATCTGTGGACGGATGCCACAAGGAGGAATGTTGTTCGCTGACATATTATGACGTTTTGGAAAGTTTTGTTATATTTACCTACACAGGTTTTATTAATTGGAATACGTGTTGAAATCAATTTCCACCATTTCACGTTATGAGTACGACAAAAACAGGCATCCCCTCGGCAGCAGCGGCACTTAGGCTTCACGTTCGTCAATATGTGCGCGCATTCCAGTTTTTGGTTATAGTTCATTGATACCGATCCTTCTGGTTGCTAAAGCCACCTTTTTTTCGCCTAGCTTCATGCTGCAATTTTTTGAATTGCGCACGGACTTGCCTTAAGGCAGGTCACTCTTTCTTGGCGGCTTGGTTAAGCGAGTCGACGTCAATGACGTCAGCGAGCCCTTCTGTTTTTTGGCAAACGTGCTAAGTTTCCTTAAAAGTCTCTTGAAGGGGTGAGTCTTTCAAATTTCTCTCGGTGGTTCGGAGTACCATTAATGGCTAATTGAAGAAATAGTTTATTCGTCCACTCGGCTACTTTTTTGAGATTTTATTCGAACATGCCAGGCTTTATTTCCAACCACCTCTGGTGATTCCAGTTCCAGTATAGAAGCCCCTTGTTCTGGGGTCCTACTCCTACTCCTACAGCCAGGCCTAGTATTGGTCCAATTCAATAAAGACTGCATGCCTTCATAAACGCCATATGCCTCTACTTCTGAGGCCAATTTCATGGTCCCTGATGGATAGTGCCTATCGTCACTGATGATACCTCGACTTGGAAGTAGTGTTACAGGTTTCTTTACGTTTAAATTTTACGTTATATGTTTATGTTATAACTTTTTATTGAGCATTACCTAATAAATGGAATGTTTCATTTCCATCCTGTTTGGCTGAGCATGTAAATTTTCAGAGCAGAAGAGTCAACGAAGTCGTTTTATATTTTTTATTGAGCTTTACCTAGTTGCAATGTCTCATTTCTATGTTCAGTTCGCTGTTCGGTTGAGCATATGAATTTCCAGAGCAGACAAGGTCATTTTTATATTGTACCTATATCTTTTATTGAGCATTCCCTAATAAATGGAATGACTCATTTCTTTGTTCAGTTCGCTGTCCGGTTGAGCATATGAGTTTTAGGTGCAAATAGACCAGTAAAAAGGATCCCAATTTAAATGGAATGATCGATCAATATTATTATTTTACACAATAGTAATCAGTTAAGTGTTATAATAGCTCCCAATTGAACGCATATTGACCTCGAAACGAAATAACTCAGTACCTCAAGTAGGAATGTTAAATGTCCAGAATCTCTCACCAAATATCCAAAAATCCTCGAGGATTCTGGAGAAGGCAACAAATTGGGAAAGAAAGCTCATGCCACCAGCAAACTTCACATAACAACCACTAATATCAGTTCCATGGTAAACAACGAACAATTTAATGAACTCGAATAAAAACTTGAGCAAATCAGATGGGAGATATTGCGGGAAGCGAAACAGGAAATTTTTCAAAGAAGGCATGAAGATGAACAATGAATCAACGATAGTGTAGAAAATAATAACGGCCTAAAATGCCTAAAATCACGACTCAGCACCAAGCATGAAAAATGAAGACGGATCCAAAATTAAAAACGCTCCAGATGTGGAACACTTCTATCGTGACCCATTGAGCTGTCAACCAAAGCACAGAATAACAAACAATCAGAAGGAATACAGAAAGAAAGATTTGGTTTTCTATGGCCTTGCACCGAGGTAACGGCGAAAAGATCAGGGGCGCCCTCTTCCGCTGACATTTAACGTCAAGAATACTGATAAACGTTGGGAGACTTTTGGTCGTGGCGCCATCTATGATTCACTAAACAACATGTTGATGTGACCTAAATAGGGAAAACATGTTTTTCCTTTATACACAGATTATGTGGGTTGTTTTTTCTCGCTTTTCCATCCACAGACACATTTCAATCTATCAGATCTCATCGGTGTGGTTAGCAAAGCAAAGAAAACCAACTCAAGTTTAGTGCCTGTAGGCAAACTAAAACCAGAAGGCTCGTATTTTCGTAACAGAGAACTGCATTTAATGTCGCAAATGGCCATTACGAGTATGTCCGGATGCCGTTTGGCCTAAAAAACGCTCCAGCTACGTTCCAGAGGGTAATGAATAACGTTTTCAAAGGCCTCCAAGTGTAACAAACCGGCCTGAAAGTCTTTTTTTTTTTGCTTCGTAATACAAATTAATTGGCCTTTTTACCAGTTAGATTAAACTGACAAATTTCTGCCAAGGATTATCAGTCGGTTTTCAAATAAGTGTGATGACTCTTGACCCCTCGTTCCTTGGAAAAAGTCGCCTGACTTGAAAACTGATAAACTAAAAGCGTCACCAATTTCGCTAAATAAAAGACGGCTCACGTCGCCCTGGATTCTGATCACAGATTCTGGTGATTACAGTGTAAAGTCGACAAACGAAAGTTCTGTCCCATAACACTGACAAAGATAGAGCAATCGTTCTTGTGAGAACGCTGTTCTCTGGTTACGAGAATAGACACCCTGGCAAGATGGAAAGGTCTCAGAGTCAGAATTAATAGGTACACAAAGAGGCTGACCATGTACAGATGAGATGCATCAAGGTTTTCAAACTAACTTGAAGTATTAGTTAGGTAGGTACTTTTGAGACAAGTTGCTTTAGAGAATATTTGGGATTTGCCATTTTCCGAAGATGGACAATAATAGGCTAGACAAAAAGAAGAAGAAGAAGAAGAAGAGAGGGTAGATATTTGAATGGAGAACCATACGAAAATATACATTATTTACCTGAACAATAACTTATTATATAAAGTCAGAATTTGTAAGAATATTTACTTTTTGTCAATTTGCCTTTCAATAGGAATTAGTAATGTTACTTTACCAAACTAGTAACATAATGTGATAAGTTATTCAAATAGAAACGAGTGGATTGTTGCGGAACTTATGGGTGGACCTCTGCGGGACGAGCGCAGCGAGTTCCGCAGCCATCTATTCACCAATATGTTGTTCAAGTACGATACTAACCTAATTCACTCAAATGTGAGTTATTCTCATTACCTAGTTTGAAAAGTACACGTTTCAGGTGAGTGTCTTATTTGAACAGTTCAACAGTATATTGGTGAGAAGATCGCTGTGGAACACGCTGCGCTCGTCCCGCAGAGGTCCATCCAGAAGTTCCGCAACAATCCACTTATTTGTACTTGAACAATAACTTATTATACTGAATCAGAATTGGTAAGATTATCCACTTTTTGTCAATTTGCCTTTTAACAGGAATTAGTAATGTTACCTAACCAAACTAGTAATATATTGTGACAAGTTATTCAAGTACAAACGAGTGGATTGTTGAGGAACTTATGGGTGAACCCAGCCATCTATTCACCAATATGTTGTTCAAGTACAATCCTAACCTGATTCACTCAGTTGTGAATTTTTCTCATTAGTTCAAAAACTACACGTTTCCGGTGAGTGTCTTATTTGAACAGTTTAACAGTATATTGGTGAGTAGATGGCTGCGGAACTCGCTGCACTTGTCCCGCAGAGGTCCACCCATAAGTTCCGCAATAATCCACTTATTTGTACAGGGTGTTTTTTTATATAATGACACCCCACCTACAGCCTTTACCTCTACAGGTAGACGAAAGGTGTAAATACAAAAGTTGTACAGTTTAAGCTTAATTTTTGAAAACCATGGTCAGAAAGAAAATTTGAATGTCAGAAATGTGAAATTTTGCAAATTTCCAGCTTTTTTCAAATGGGATGCCCTATATTTCATTCTATATTCTTGAAGAGCACAATGCCCCGATCTATATTTGATTAAACAATTTCTCATATATTCGGCTTCAAAAATTGTAAAAATACTATCCTACTGCTGATTATGTGAACCATTCTACCTGTATAGGTGAAAGCTGCAGGTAAAATTTCAGGTAGGTACTTAGTTTCTCTGATAGTATTTTTAACATTTTTAGAACCAAATATGTTGGAGACGGCTCCACCAAATATAGACAAACTATATAGTTTTGGAATCGAGAAATTGTGCTCTTCAAGAATATAGAACTAAATATAGGGCATCCCATTTGAAAAAAGCTGAAAGCATGCAACATTTCACATTTCTGACATCCACTTTTGTTTCTGACCATGGATTCCAAAAATTTAGCCAATACTGTACAACTTTTGTATTTATACCTTTCATCTACTTGTAAAGGTGAAGGCTGTAGATAGGGTGTCAATATATAAAAAAATACCCTGTACTTGAACAATAACTTATTATATAAAGTCAGAATTTGTAAGATTATTCACTTTTTGTCAATTTGCCTTTCAACAGGAATTAGTAATGTTACTTTACCAAACTAGTAACATATAATGACAAGTTATTCAAGTACAAATGAGTGAATTGTTGCGGAACTTATGGGTGGACCTCTCGGGACGAGCGCAGCGAGTTCCGCAGCCATCTATTCATCAATATCTTGTTTATTTGTGATACTAACCTGACTCACTCAAATGTGAGTTATTGTCATTACCCAGTTTAAAAAGTACACGTTTCAAGTGAGTGTCTTATTTGAACAATTCAACAGTATATTGGTGAGTAGATGGCTGCGGAACTCGCTGCGCTCGTCCCGCAGAGGTCCACCCATAAGTTCCGCAACAATCCACTTATTTGTACTTGAATAATAACTTATTATATTAAGTCAGAATTTGTAAGATTATCCACTTTTTGTCAATTTGCCTTTTAACAGGAATTAGTAATGTTACTTTACCAAACTAGTAATATATGTTGTGACAAGTTATTCAAGTACAAATGAGTGGATTGTTGCGGAACTTATGGGTAGACCCAGCCATCTATTCACCAATATGTTGTTCAAGTACAATATAAACCTGATTCACTCAGTTGTAAATTTTTCTTATTAGTTCAAAAACTACACGTGTCAGGTGAGTGTCTTATTTGAACAGTTCAACAGTATATTGGTGAGTAGATGGCTGCGGAACTCGCTACGCTCGTCCCGCAGAGGTCCACCCATAAGTTTCGCAATAATCCACTTATGTACATACTAACATGAAAAGGTTAAGGGGGTAGTCAGAAACAGGAAAATACCAGTGGCGTATACACGATCGACCTACGAATGGAGAACCATACGAAAATATACAAAACTCTATGATTATTAAAAAACTGTACATAGGATTGAATTCATACTAACATGGAAAGATTAAGGGGGTATTCAGAAACAGGAAAACAACACTGTAACAAGCTACCTGGTGCACGTGGGCCCTTAACCACAATAATCCTGAGGATGGCGCCCGAGATAACCGTTAAAGCAAGAAAAGGGAAAAACCGAAAGGACGCTACAAAATTGGCGCCCGAGCAGGGACCCTCAAGTCCTTTGTAAAACTCAGAGTCAAGACGAGTAGAGGCAACAACACCGCTGGAGACCCCCCAGTTGCGATTATTCCAAATATCGTTGCACAGATTGTAGTTACAACCAGTCCGCGCGGCTAACCCCGTTGTTACTATCCCGACGATAATTTACCCTGGTTGGTATCACCCCAACAATATCCGTGTGAGCTGAGTATATCAACTGAAGAAGGACGATTTGCTTGTGAAGCTGAATAATTTCGGCCTAGAAACTGGCGGTACCGTTGACATTATAAAAAAGTGGCGTATACTCGATCGACCTACGAAATACGAGCTTCCTTGCCAAATCTTGCTCAAACTTCAATGCCAGCCATCGGTTCCGCGTTTTCTTTAGGGTGACAATAAGAAGCTTCACTTTTTTACATTTTTTAAACAATCTCCTTATACTTAGTGAACGGAAACTATTTAAAAAAAATACTTACGACAATTATATCGGTTGCTTTTGCGACGGGATTGATCAGTTTGTTAAGTCTAGGGCAAGTGGCTTTGACTCTCTTGAAATTTATCTGGAATAAAAAATAAAAAATAATTTTTATATGCGTAAAAATGTATTTGTTTCACTTAACAAATCACCTGAGGTAGGTAATTACATGAAAAGGATTGCAGATAGCCAGAGGCTCAATAACAATAACACGTCTGTATAAAAAAATAACACAAACAAAAATAAGTTATAAATTCTCACCTTTGAATGTTGGTCAGAATATAAGCGTCTTAGCCTATGAGTGGTACGGTTTAGGGTGTTGATGAAAAATTTTAGCTCTTTTTCGGCGGTACTTCTTACGTGTCGTACCGCGTGATTGGAACAGGGGTTCGTCCGGAGATCAGATCCGCCTTGTGGAGCAGCGAAAGTCGATGCAAATGTTACAAGAAGGATTAGGATGATTTTTGCGCAGCAAGCTGTAAAGAAAAAAATAAACATTAGAATATAAATTACAATTAAAAATATAGTAAATGAGGATCTTATTTCCAGTCAAGTGACATATTGTTTATGATTCAGATACCTAGATATGAAATTACTGGAACTGAGAAGAGTAGTGCCTCATATGTCTAAGACCAGAAAACAGGCTATAACTTTATACAATATACATTCTTTTCTATTTTTATTCTTTGAACATTTTTTTCTGACAACCACCGCAAATTTACATAATCGATGTAAACGCGGAAAATTCTGTACAATTGCATTTGACCTTGTCAAGTCAAAAAAATAATACAATTTGCTTTATTAATTAATATTTCTAAAATGGGGATCCACGGTTTACAATGTTTACACCTAGTAAAGTTCAGCAAAAAAAAAAAAAATAGAACATTTCCTCACCCTTATAGAAACATTTCCTCTAAACTTATAGACTTTTGATTTGTTGAAATTGAGTCAAAATTGTGTAATGTTTTCTTAAAATAATTATAAAAAGGAATTACCACTAGTAGCAAACCTTATACAGGTAAAATATAGAGGAAGGTCGACATTTTTTTTTTCTCGCAAAACGTGATAACTTGTTACGTTTTATTAGGTGATATATTCTATAGTTGGAATGTGGGTTATGTTGTAATATAATGTTTCTTTAAATATTTTAATATTAAAGCATGATGCAGTATAATTGACAATACTTTATTGCAGGAAAAATATTTGTTGCTAGATTGCAATTAAAACTCATAAATAAACTACTGGAAAACTATAACAATAAAATAATTACAAGAAGATAAACATAATAAACTATAAAATATTTAAATCTTGTTCTCATAAAAACAAACATCATAAATTTCATTTCTGGTTTGTAAAAAAACCGCACAATTAAGTACTGGCTACAATTTATATTGATTTTGTTTTAAGAAATGTCAAAAAGGTCAAAAATAAGTTCCACTGTACATTTTGAAAATTTTATAAAACATGAATCATTTGAACCAAAGTAGTAGAAGCAAGATTGTCATTGTTATAATACAAAAAGGTAAATAGAGAAGAAAACAAGGTCTTAAAGCAATTATGTAAATTTTGTCTTGAATGCTACCTAAATCCTTTAAAGTTTTCAAATCTATGCTAATTTTTACTATTACTAGTTTATACCTCTTGGTTTCTATATTATTCGAGAGAGTGATGTACAAGGTAATTAGACAACCGAGATTTTATAAAGGCAGGTAACATTTAAGTTTGACCTAGGGGTTTACCCCAAAAGCAATAATAATGTAGATGACAATATAATTTGAAGACACTATTCTCAGTATATTATTGACAGTCTCAGTTGATTTGCAAACAATTTAATGGGAGTTTTGTTTTTGGAATGACAGAAAGAAAGTTATAAATTCCTCAAAATAATAAACATAAATTTAATATCTAATATGTAGCATTATAAAAAATTAAAGAAAAAATAATAAATATAAACTCAAAAAAAAGTTTAAAAAAATATAAACAAATTCAAAAAAAATATATCAATAAATGTTTCCAAGTTAAGGTACTAGTGTTACTTATTGCAATAATTCGAAAAGACATATGTAAATATAAATCTTACCCATCATAATATTTCATAGTCCAAAAAATTGATTAACAAATAAAGTCGTTACACATTATAAAATAAAAACAAATAAAATCACAATAGAGGTACTGCCGGAACCAATAACCAGATTGAGTTATGTATCACTGTCCGAAACATAACTGAGAGATTTTTCTCGTTGTCGCGTCGTTTCACCTTTCGCACGTCCGATGATGACTAAGTACTATTCATGGTACTACTACCGGTCGCGAATTTGTCTAAGACCCGACTGACTCCAAACCAAATCGTACCTTACTACCTTGGGCCAAGGGAGGCTGAGACTGTGAGGCGATAACAATTGACAGTCCCAGCCCGGCCTCCAAGAGACCACGGGGAGTTGCTCTCGCTATTCACTTGTTTTGGGACGATTCACTTGTTTGGTGTGGTACTTTGGCTGGCTTTCGCGCATCGTACTTCTTTTGTTATCGAGTGGCAATTGTTTTCGGTTGGCCGAACCGGAGGTAGCGTGATTTCGTTTTTTTGGTGTGTGGGTGGCGTTTAGAGGGGTGAGTGGGGGGCTGAGGGTGTGAATGGTGTACCTGTCGGTGGTGGGGGAGGACGCGAAAAATGTCGGAATTTTTCGGAAATTCGGTGTTTGGGTCTTTATGAATGGAGGATGGAATGCCTGTTTGAACTTGTTGCGATTTGCGAGTTTTCAGGAATCAGCCTACAACTTTTTAGAAAAAAGGTCTGTCTTGATGAATTAGATATTGTTGATTCCGGTACTACTATTTCATAGAAGAATACGTTTATTGACTATAACTTTTGCCGAAAACATTCATGGACAGAAACTATAGTTCCAAATATATAAATTCTGTATGTCTGGCTGACAAAATTTGAGGATGTTTGGTCCAATGTCTTCTAGAAAAAAAGCAAATGTCTTTCTTTCGCACGCCATTCGAATTATCAAGGTTTTTATAAGTTTTCAAAATTAGAATATCTCAATAGCCAATACTGTATTGAAACTTCAATGTAATGGTTATTTCAAAATTAACATCTACGTTTTTACGCTTTACAATCTTTGTTTTCTTGTGATGAAGAAAACTTTTCTTAATTTTTTTATTTCAGTGTAGACAAATCCGCATTTAGAGACTGTTTGGACCAAGGTTTGAACCAGTAAACTGTAAAACGACCTGTCTTTTTCAAATGTGAAGTATTGGTTTTACGAGACTTTAGTAAATTCCTTTTCAGAATTTGGATCTCAAAAACTGATGCCGAATCCTTCGGGCAAGATATACAGGTCCCAGAACAATCAGTTTATATAATTGAATTGGGGTATTCGTAATTTGGTTCCTGGCAAGTAGTAAATAAAAAAATGCTAGCCCTTTTTTGTTATCAATATGTAATTTGGTACCCAGACCCCTAAAGGGAGTTCCAATATTGGTTTTCAGGTAATAATGAATATTAATTAAATAGGTACCTGAGGGTGGGGTTTGCGGTTTAGGTAATAAGTTAGTACTAGGTTTGTTCGGAATCAGTTCCCGAATTAAACTGCGCTTGCGCATTTGTTCATTTATGTTCGATATGAATAAATGCGCATGCGCAGTTAATTCAGAACTGATTCTGAACTAAGTCCGAAAAAACCTATTCTTGTTGTAGTTAGTTTATGTATTGTTACCGCTAGTGTTTGCAGTTCGTCAATTGCCAGTAATATTTTCTATTATGAATCCCGAAATAATTCCCCTCGCAATAGCCCCAAAAAACGAAAATATACAGAAATATTCAGATTATTTGACAGATACCTATATATCAGAACACTCTCTTATTCCACCTTTGCTTTGAGCTCACAATTCAGCTGACCTTACACGCACTACCACCTCAGTGTCTGATAAAATTTATTGAAAATTTGCCTGTTCGGGCACACTTCAGTTCTTCTAGAAGCTATCTTAGAGTATAATCTGACTGTCCTAGGAACTTTGGCCTGCCCGAAGTGTTCAGTACCAATTTACGAAGCCAATTCTCAAGAGTGAAGGTTCCAAAATAGTCAATTTATGCAATAATTAAACTTTTTAAAGAAACTGTTGTGGTCCTACAAGGCTCAGACAACCTACAATTCAGATAAGAAATACGCCGCAAGTCCTAGAACCATCATTCTATACATAAATCAAGTTTCTCAAGGATTTGAAGTGTAGCCAAATGGCCCAAAATACTTGAAATGTAAATTAAGAATAGTTTTATGGGACTTAGAGAAATTACTTTGGATCCCAAATTGGTACCAAGCTCTGTAGTGTGGCCAAAGGCCTCAAAATTCTCATAATTCAGATTAGGAATAATCTAATGAGATTTTCTGCACATAAAGGTATTCGGTTATATAGGTGCATTATTTCTTTATAAGGACTCTAGTTACTACTAATATTTTAGATGGAAATGTAATGAATATAATGTAATATACTTATACTTATATTATATTCAGAAGTTTAACGGCCGTAGTAGTCTATAATAAGAAATAATTGACCGAAATCTCTGGGATTTCCTTCTCATCTTATACTTATACTTTAAAATACCTATCACTTTTGAGAAGTTGGCACCTAAATTGTGCCAACGAAAAGTTAGTTTATAAGGTTACTGAATAAACTTTTATCTACAAGCGTTTGGTTATTACGTTTTCACATATCCATTTTTCTAGTATTTGAGTTATGTCATGAGACTCATAACACAACTAGTGGTGTTATGGACTAGGTTATGAATTCATAACACAACTAGTGGTGTTATAAACTAGGTTATGAGTCTATAACACAACTATTTTTGGTGATTTGACAAATGTCAAAAGTTAAACCTGTAAAGGTGAAATGAAGGTAGACAACTACTTACTAAGAAACGAAAATAATTGAAAAATAGTATATTATTCAACGAGCGGGTAATGATGGCTATTACTCACGAAGGATGAAGTTTGCACTACGAGCCGCAGGCGAGTAGTGTAGTCATCCGAGTGAGTAATGTAATAGCCATTACCCACGAGTAGAATACTATACTTTTTCTATGATTAATAGATTATAGGCACGAGTTATGCGATTTTTGATTTAATTTTCGTAACAAAATTAATTGACAAGTTTGACAGCTGGAGGACAAATTGAGGTTAGGTTAGCACAAATCTTGTCCAAATTAGCTGTCAAAATGACCGATTGGAAGGTTGAAGTATGTTGTCAACTTGTCGAATTTTCTGATTGGCTCTTGAATAGTGGAGTAATGAGACCAGCATAATTTCATTGGTTGAAAACAATTAGGTAAAGAAAAAAAAAACTCACTTTATGAGTAATCATTCACAGTGATCAATAGAAAATGGATGATTATTACGCATATTATTCAATACTCATGGAAAAACATTCTTATTATATCCTATTCACAATCCGATGTCCACAGGTACAGGTAAATTTA